GGTTTAGGGTTTAGGGTGCTTGGAATCCAGACTTGACTGGTGTTTGAAAGTGTTTCCCCTACAGGTCGGATTTTCCCGAAATTAAGGGTGCCGTTTTGGGGGTGCCTGTAATTATAAAGTCTTGGGGCGTATTTTAGGGTCGCCCAAAATTTTATGAGCACCTGCTTCGGTTTGCTTAAAAAGCGTCGTGGACATGAACGCCGGATCTGATGTCTTAATATAGCCCCAATATACTATATAGTCGTATCCATTTTATTTTCCATTTTCCCTAATATAACTCCAATATACTATATAGTATTGCATCCAAGTCACCGTCGCCGCGCAGATGGCGAAGGCTTTCCGAAATGCCCTGGAGACCTCAATGTTTATGTTTAGGGTTTAGGGCTTAGGGATACCAATCTCAAACACGAAGCTGCTGCCACAGCTTTCACAAGGTCATGTCCATGCAGGCTTACATGCTGCTCCTTGGATTACTTGAAAGTTTCATTTCTGAATTGAAGCCTGCGGGCGGTCACTCTACAATGGTGTTTCCTGACATTCTCGGCTGCAGGCTGCTCTCATGGCCACACACCTGGCAGCCCACTTTACATGCAGTGCTCAAGAAACATGGATTTCCGAAAATGCTCCTCTGCCTCGTCTGCATCTCATATGCAAGCTGAGGTTGTGCTAGCCACTCGACAAAACGGGCAATCCCAGCTGAGCCTCGGAAGCAAGTAAATCGCCTTTACCTCTTCGAGGAAGCCGACGTGCTCAGTAGCCTGTAACGAAGTCACACAATGATTGAGGCGACTTTCCTTCAACGGAAGCAGCTGAAGACGACAAACGAAACTGTTGGCACTTTGACTCTCGCAATACTCTCTCTATCGATCCATGTGCAATTGTAATGAGACTGGGCTGCGTGCGACTGACGCACGACACGGGCTTTGCCCGCGAGTTGCCGAGTCCTTGCCTCTAAGCGTGGGATTAATGGAAAGTCGCGTGATGCCGCATATTCGCAAAACACCCTTTGTGCTCAGACTGACTTCGCCAGGTGACTCAAAGATCGCTCAAGAAACGCACTGTGGACGCCTGAGAAGCGGTTTCCCCAGAGATGTTTTGCCCCAGCTGCTGCTCGAAAACCTTCTGGATGCTGGGATTTGTCTGGACACGAACGGGCGGATTTGATACATTGATGATCTGCTCAATGATCACATCGGCTACCTCGTCAGGTGTCTGGCCAGCACCTGCAGACTTGCCATAAGCTCCCATGGTTGACTGAAGTGGTTTCTGATACTCTGCTGGCATTGCGCTAGTATCTGGCACCTGTGCGTTGGCCCAGAAAGCAGACTTGATTGCGCCTGGCTCCACACATGAGACATGCACGCCGAAGGTTCGGAACAGTGGAGCCTGGCTCTCTGTCATACCCTCAAGGGCAAACTTGGAGGCACAGTAAATGTCATTGAAAGGCTGACCCCAGATGCCGCCAACAGAGGAAATGTTGATGATCTTGCCCGACTTCTGCTGGCGCATGTACGGAAGTACCGCCTTCTGGCACCTAATGACACCAAAGAGGTTCGTCTCCATCTGCGCCTTCATTGCCTCCATAGTCATCATCTCCACGCTACCAGCCTGGCTGTAGCCAGCATTGTTCACCAGCACGTCAGCTCGGCCAACTTCCTTGAGAGCAGGAGTTAGCCCGGACTCCACTGAGGCGTCCGTGTTCACGTCCAACTCCAAGGTGCGGATGTTGGCGGAAACCTCTGCTTTTGCTGCAGCCTCGATCAAGGCATCCTTCTTCGTGAGGCTACGCATGCCTGCGAAGACCAGATGATTCCGTGCCAGCTTCACTGCTAAAGCCATGCCCAAGCCAGAGTTGGCACCAGTAACAATGGCAACAGGCAGAGACATGCCGCAGTCTGTGGCCGGGCTGCGAATCTAAGCCTTTGAGCTGTCAGCTGTGAGGCCTTACCCAGGCGTGAGGCAGAAACCTTCGCTTCCGAACTCCACCCCGCAGCTACAGCTAGATCGACACAACCGCAGTCTGAAGCCTCAACTGTTCCACAATTCTAGAAATCACCGACTCCCTAGGATTTCAGCATGAAAGCCGGTAGAGCCCTGCCTCCGGGCCATGGTAGCGGCCGCCCCCCCGGCCGACCGAGGCGTAGCGTTGCTTGAGATCGCGGCGGGTGTGACGTCAGGAATGGTCAAAAACAAGTGGGTTGCACAAATTGGCTAGGGACTGGCGACCCCCTGGTCCGGACTGTCTCAAGCCAGAACTCACAGCCCTTGACTCCTCCACAAGAAGCAACCTTTGATGTTTTGGATACCCTTGTCAGATGTGGCTGCAAAGCCGTTCCAGGAATGCAGCGTGGTTGCCACGTTGCAAACCTGTGTCCATCCCGATTCGCATGGTACGGCACACTTTGGGCCCTACCATTTGCATAGGGAGCTCTCAGCACACTTTGGCACGAGTGAAACAAGCTTCATTAACCTTCATACTCCGGCACCTTCGGATATTGTCGACCATTGACCTTACCCTTTCAGAAAGAAGACTGCCTGAAAGCGCCAGACCTAGATTCTGTTCCCTCTGATGCTCAGCTGCCACCTCCAGGGTCCGCCCTGGCCTTACCTTCAGGGAAGCAGCAGTCAAAGCAGTGCTCGAAAGAATCTCAGGCTTCGGGTGCATGTGCATACGTTAAAGATCGGGGACCCCCTGATTTCCAGGAGCATCTGTAGAAGGGCAAAGAACATCGCCAGACTTGCCACTGTTGGTGGGTCGAGAGACTAGCACCACAAAATGCGCAGTATCCAAATGAACTCGTCGCAAGAATGACTGCCTGCTGTCCCTCCGGACCGGCGGGCGGAAGCTTTGAGGCAAGATCCTCGGACAAAGTGAACGGCAAGTCCCAAATCTAGGGATTTTTCAACGCTGCGCCCTTGGACAATCTTAGAATTTTATGTAGCGTGAAGGGAATTTAATGTTCCTTCTCGGGGAGATAAGGAATGCTTTGAGAAAGATCCCCGACTAAAAAATGTACACTTTGCAATCACAACACTTTACTATTGTTACTATTATGACTATTATTACTGTTACTGCTAGTATTGCGTTTATTCTACTATTAGCATTATTCTGATTACTACTATTGCTATTATAATAATTATTGTTACTGTTATTAATGCCCTTTAGGCAAAAAGATGAGAGGGAGGTTGACTCAAGAGGTACCTTGTATTGGCATACAGGGGGGGGTTCTTAAAAATCTGGACTTCTAGAGATACTGGAGAACCATAGCTATGTATGGATTACAAAGGAATTAGGAGGGACTCTCTTGAGAGATTTCAGGGATACTTGTTCGAAACTCCCTAATTCGGAGGAAGCAAGCCAAACCAAATAACGTATTCAAAGCTACCCCCTGGTTGCAGAGTCTTGGCTTGGTGGATCCGGAGTCGGTTTGTTTGGACTGGATTTGCAAGGGCAGAAGGCGGCGACGAATGCTTTGTCTTGCACCTACCAAAATCACAAGTGCCTACCAGTCCTTGACTAGACAGGTACTCTAGAACCCAGGAATTCAAGGGGCCATACTCTGAACTGCAGGTATCTTGAGGAAATCAGGCGGTCAGGGTGTACCCAGTTTGGGCAATCCACCCCACCATCCATGATGACCTGGATGTTATTTTTTGCTGGTCATGGAAATGGTGTGCTCTCAGCCCCAAGAACGATCACAGCCTGAGTCGCAGGCATGGGCACTGCACGATCAAACGCAGCAAGGTCCTGCTCCTGCAATGCCATGGAGTACTACTCAGTGTGATGACAAACGGGATGATGACATGATCTTATGCTGTTCTGGACATTTTGTAGAATTGGACTGGGTTCTCTGGGGCTTACGAACGAGGGGCTTCTCCAAAATTTCACAGTTTGCACTCTCGACTCTAGACTTGCAAAACTGAATGTATTCGGTCTGAAGATGTATGTTTATTGCCTGTTTTGAGTGCACTCCACAACCCTGAACTGTAAACCCGCAACCCGTAAACACTGAAGCCTCAACTACGTGCAAAAGCGGTGACCTGGAATGGCACCGGAGAGGCAGCAATGGCGAAGTCGAGCCTAATCCAGCAGGAGCAGAGGCTGGGAAAGCGCCATGCGCCATCAGGGTATATTTTGGGATAATGGAAAATAAAATGGAAACTACAAGGATTATAGGGATGGTACTGGGGTTATCTAGGGGTTATATAGCGGGCATCGACAAGAATGTAAACTTTTGCAAAGGCCAGCAAAGATGCCCGTGATTTTGACAAAGCCGCATACCACTAGGGCTAGAGCATCCTGTAGCCAGAATTCTGCACGCTATAAGATGAACCACTATTCGGTCTTCTAGAATATAACCCCCCAAAAATATAGTAGCTTCCATTATCTTTTCCATTATCCCAAAATAACCCTAATATATACCCTATATAATCCCTAGATAACCTATATAATCCCTATAGTCCCTGTAGTTTCCATTTTATTTCCATTATCCCAATACAAACCCTGTATGGGTGGTTGTCAAAATTATGGCCCCTTTTTGGGTACCCTAAATATTAGGTGCCGTACTGTAATAGGGATCCAAAAAGGGACCATACTTTTGACAACCACCCACATCATCCCTATATAACATCATGCAGTCCCCTGTACAGCTCAGCTGCTCATCGTCGCCTAGCGCAGAAGGCGGAGCCAGCTCGGGCACCTGAAGCGGTGTGGGATTCAGGTTTAGGGTTTAGGGTTCTGTTCATGTGGAGCCACTTGTAAGTTAGCATAAGTCCTCAATGTGAGTTGGCTTTCAAAGATGTCATTCTAGGTGTGCTTTTTTTCAGGCCTGGCGCTGCCCGGCGTCGTTATCAAAGAAGGCGGAAGAACTGTGTCGTCTTGACACTGCTCCTACGACCCCTGGTTCCCAATGCAATGGGAGCATGCAGGTTACATGCGCCTACATGGGAGTTGCTCAAAATTTGAGAATCCTTGAACAGGACCCCACAAGCTCCTCACATTCCCCAGATACCCCTTGGGTCTCTAGGATTTCACCGTTTTGAGAAAGCCCCCACAGCAGGCTACATGCTGCCGGCCTCAACTAAACTCGATCCAAGCTCCTTTCCTGTCAGGCCTCAACCGCCCCAAACTACAACCTAATCCCGAAACCACCCCCTACCCAATCATATTCCTCAAGCCGTACTGGCAGTATGTTAGGAAAATCGAAAGTGAGGGGTTGGTGAGCTTACCGATCAGACATTAACATTGCTAATAATTCCTAAGGCTTATACCGTACCAAAAATGAAAAGTCAGTGATGCCTAAGAAGACGAGAGTAGAGGGAAGGAATTACGCCCAGCTCACTGCGGTTGGCCCTGCGCCAGGTGGAGGTCTGGACACCCGGTAGCTTTGTAGCTGGGCCTGCACAACACACAGCTCTGGAGGTGGGAATAGCACAGAAACCCTAGAAATACATGGCAAGTGCAACTTAGGGATTGTATGTTGCAGGGATACTTTGGAAAAGATCAGCACCTTCATGGGGGTTGCTACAATATGCTTTGGGAGGTTGGGGGCCCTTCACTTCGCAGTCGCAGGATTACAACAAAAGCTGTTCTGAGGCATCTTATCTGTATGATGCTAGATATCTGGCTGGGAACTTCATAGCATGTGGTCCGAAGCATTCACCACGGCTTCTGCAGTCACAAGTATAGGCGAACTGACATCGAGGCTGTTCAAGTCCGGGCCATACAAGTAAGGGGTGCAGCGCTCAAGGCGTTGGGTCAGGCAAAGCTCTAGTGCAGATTGCAGGGCTGGCGCTTTTGGGCTTTGTCCCACCTATGTCAAGTTTGAGGTTCAAGCATCCTGCCTTCAGCCGGTGCTGCGCAATCTCCTGCTGCAGCAGCTTTTGCCGCAATCGCTCGCGGCAGTGTTCGATTTGAAGTTGAAGAGTGCGGTTCTGCAAGACGGTCTCTTCCAACATCCTGGCCACCGCTTCCAAGCACAGTAAGAGGACATGCTGCTTACAATGCAAGCTTACTCTTCTGAACTGCCAGTACAGTAGCACAGTTTCAATGATGCCCGGCAATCAAACCCCTGCACAGCAGTGGAAACAAATCCCGGTTCTGAGGAGACCCGTATTTTGTTCCCACATGTGCGAATCTGTACCTGTTGCAGGTCAAGTTGTCCCACTTTGAGGGTAATATTAGGGTTATATTGAGGATATGTTGGGATAATGGAAAATAAAATGGCAACTACTGTCGTTGGTTAAGTTGTCCCACTTTTGCATGAAGGTACTGTGAGAACTGCTGCCTTGTAGGGCTGCAGCCACCGGCAGTCTCGCGGAGGCTTCCTTGATTGCCTCCCGCCACCGACTATGGGCCCCATGCTGGGCCAGGGTCCAGGGGATTAAAACCTCCTCGCGCTAGAACCAAGAGCCTTGTCACAGGCTTTCCCTTCTTAGAGAAAACTCTGATATTGGCTTTGTCTCACATGCATGGCGGTCTGACATTTACAGATCCACTGCAAATGCTCAGCTGAAAAAAACATCCCTGATGAAGGATGTTTACTAAATTTGTGGTTTCCCAAAATGTGGGACCCCTATATAAAACCCAAAATGAGAAAGTCCTTATCATGGGAATGTTGAAAAAGCTACCCCTAATTTTGGGAAACCTCCAATTAAGTATTACCATGAAGGCATGGCCTGACAGCGTGCTGCCCGCGCAGTTTGTCATAACATCCGGGCTGGCAGGAGGTGGTGCTATTTGGGCGGGCAGGCTAGCGCGCTCGAAGCGTTCCACATGTCTCCTTAGCCGAAGCATGAATCACATGCACTAGATTTACCTAGATGTACTAGGTGTAGGAATCTAAAGAATCTGAGCAAGTATTGATATTCTCAAAGTCTCGACATGTTCCTAATGGCTTCGCCGACGTCACGGCCAAGGTCCTGCTCCAACTTGCTTTCCGACATTGCTGGCGGCTGGATTGCCTGGCAACTGCCTGCCTGGCTGCAGAAGTCAGCGGAAGCAGAGTCGAGGGCTCCCGAAGAGACGGCGCCCACGGGAGCAGGAGAAGCTGATTGAAGGCCTTCATCTTGCCCTGTCCAGCTACTCGTAGCACATTATCCCAGCAATATGAAAATTGATGATGGTCTAAATGGAGGAAATTTATGCGGGGACCGCATGCAGGAGCGCACTATAGGGACCCGTTGTTTTTCGTATTGCAATGAAGTTAGGGAATCCCGATATCACTTTCTGCACACCCGCTTCCCAGCTTGGTGGCCCCAGCTTCGATCGCCAAAAGTTGTATCGAAAGAGCGGCTCGATTTGAGTGAATGGAAACCCTCCTTTACAAGCTGGTGAAAAACTTACGAGCCGTGCCTTGTCTCTGGCCTTCCTCCAGCATCTCCTGCTCAGCGCTGACCGCATCGAAGCTGCCCAGGTCGCTGCTAACATCCTGCACCTCTGGGGCGCTCTCCTTCACATAAAGCCGTGGCGCCCTCCACTTAAGGAAATGCAAGGAGGCCAGTCCTCTGCAGTGCCCAGAGCTGCCTCGCCCTCTGGCTCGTCGACGCAGCCCTCCTTGACAAGTCTCATGCCCACCCATGCTCCCGTGTTGTGGATCCACGGCTTGCTGTAAGCTCTGAGGTGCAGGCCGGCCGGACACACGCCTCGCACTTTGCAGTGTAAACCTTTCGGGCATGTACCATGCATGGCTGTCGTCTGCTGCGCCCATTTCGAGTGGCGGGCGTCTGGTGGCGGAGAGCCCTCACTGGGAGATTGCAGCGCGACCTTCAAGATAGGCAAAATGTCAAACTGGTCTACTCACCTCACCTCACCAATGATATCACGGCTGGTGCATAAGTTAAGACTAGACTAGATATGAAACTGCAACTAAGGAATGTCAAAAGAAAGTGATGGCGAGCGGACTCAGAACTACAAGTGGGAGACCAGCAACAAGGCGCACGGAGGGATCAAATCCTCACCCTGCTTCTGATGTGGCTCAGTTGGGCTGGCAGGGCGCGGTAGCCCTAACCAACCAGAGTGCTAGGGATATCGCTGGCCACAAGACATCTTCTTTGCTCCCGTTTACGAAGAGTACACAGCAGCTTGAAAGGCATCCCAGACGACCCTGAGAGCCTCGATGGTCTTCTGCAGGATGCCGCGCGCTGCGCCAACAGCATCCTCCACAGAGGGCCCGGGATTTAACGAGACCCCAGGCCTGAATGATGGCTCGGAAGTTTCGGCTTCATCCCCTTCAAACAGAATCTGCTAATTCCAAGCCCACAGCTTCATATAAACCACATAAACTGCCTGGAGAGCGGAAGCGCTTACATGGCGGAACGTCTGCGACTAAATGTCGACGAGAAGGGCACCACAGATACCGGAATCCCTTTACGAGAACAAGACCATGGTGCTCCAATATCCTGCATCTAACACGCGTCTTTCTCTTGGTCCTGGGCTGCACTCTCCGCTGCACGGCGAGCATCGAGGAGCTTTGCCTGGAAGGCTAGCTTTACGTTTAGGATTTATCGTCCCCCTGAAGTAGATAGAACATGGTTTAGTAGGACAGTCATTTGGCAGTCCTGACGAAGCTCGTTTAGGGGTGCTCCTTCTTTAGGGCTGTAAAAACTCTTTTGCGCACCATATACTGCAACAAAACTCCCCATGAAACCTAAACCATAAAACCCCTAAACCATAACCCCTAAAACCCCAAACCCCTTAAGCCTAAACCCGAGACCCCTGAATCCCCAAACCCCTACAAGCAACTGAGCAGCCTCGAGTTTGCTCAGCTCTTTATGGAGTGCTGCAGCCCGCAGTTGCAGGCCATCCACGTCGTCTACATCGGAGCCCTGGTAGGGTGCCTCCCGGGGGGGGGTGCGGTTTAAGGTTTAGGGTTTAGGGTTTAGGGTGGCCCTAGGGGATACCACGAAGTTTTGGGAGATTTCAAGGGGCTGCGCCAGCAAAATGAACAAGGACTGGAGAAAATTTCAACTAAGTGATTGACACTCCTCCAGTGGCTCACCTGGGTAGTTGTAATGGTCTCCGAGATCTCCTTATTCATGTGCATTCCTATCTCTAGGTCTCCTTAACATAACGACGGCTTTCAGACAAACAGACGGTAAAACGTCATACGAAACCCTGGCAAGAGAAAGGCACAGAGCGAGACTGCGAGAGCGGCTGCCGAGCTCAAGCCCTAAACCCCTGAAACTCCAAGCCCTACCCCAAGCATCCTTTGCTTGCTGTAGCCCTGGACAAAAGATCTGTAAGCGGCACCCCTCTGAACTTGCAAGAGAAGCTACCCTGGCTCAGTCGCATGAGTACTCTTACCGGAGAAGCAGTTTTCTTGCAATCTCATCTTGTAGGGCTTTTTAATGTATACCTTGACCTTCAACAAAACACCTTCACCCATTTCCATGAATATGAGGCCCCAACATAAGCCCCAAAATACTAATCCTTTTTACATGGAACCCCCCAAAAAGGTACCACTACTGATGGGAAATCCCAAGCCCTATATATAAAGCCCTATGTAATCCCAGTTTCCATGCTATTTTCCATCTTCTTTTTCATGTGATTCTCCATTGTTGGGGCAATATCCCCCCTAAACCCTAAACCCTAAACCCTAAACCGCGTGGCTCATGGGAATTCCTCAGTTTTTAAGAAGCCAGGAAGATCATGGCCTGCTCCTGCCAATAGCTGCGGTGGTGCTCCTGGCACTCCAAGCTCGACTGCTCGTGCTCTTGCGCCATGGACTCATTCCTCTCCTGCATGAGGTTTTAGGGTTTAGGATTTAGGTTTACGTAGGGTTTAGGGTTTAGGGTTGGGAGGGTTGGGAGAGGTGGGGGTTGGGGGGTGGGGGAGTTGGGCTCCCGGAGGTTGAGTCAGTACAAGGGTTGTTCCGAATGATTTCTTGTAGACTTGCAGTATGACCTATACCAAAACATTGTTGAACAAATCTGCTTAGTCATTTGGGCTATAGTCTAAACTCCCACAGAATCTAGACTAAAGCTCATCTGAGCTATAGTCTGAACTCCTGGTATCCCCCTTATTAACACCTATAGTAGTCCCCCATATAATCCCCTATATACCAGGAATTTAGATTATGGCTCATTTGGGCTTTTTAAGGCAGACTTGTGCTTATGCTGGGTTCTATAGCATATCTACCTGACCCATCAGAGAGATACTTCAGCAGAATGCAAGGCACGCCTTGACTATACATGGGCTTAGGTAACCGTAATCCCTTAATAGCAGTTTCCATTTTGTTTTCCGTCGTGCCAATATAACCCCTATATAACCCCAATATAAATCCGGCAATCAGTGTCCTGCACGCAAGAAAGGTCTGCCACCTGGTGATCCCCAAGTTGTATCAGGGACTGGAAAGCAGTCTCCAGGGTCTGCACCTCTCACAAGTAGCATGGATGTGGGGGCTGTTCTAAAGGTCCTTGCAAAGAAGGGACCATTAGGAATACACATCCTTAAACTGGGATCCTAATCAAACAAGGAACCTACGTTATAGCCCTTTTGGGTGCAACTACGATGCGTGAACGTTGGGAAGAGGTACTATTCCCACTGGGAATGCCTCCAGCTTCAAGCAATCATTGAGGCGCCGCCTCTCCGCCAGAGCCAAGCTCAGCCTCGCAGCTTCAGCCTTCCAAACATCAGCTGTCCTTTGTACTTTGCTGTTGCAAACCTCCTGCTGCACGTCCGGTTGCACTGCTTCGGCCGGAGGTGTGGCTGCTTCGCCTGCAGCTGCACGTAGATCTTCACCAGCCCCAACAGCTTCGGTCGCTCCAGACGCTCCGGGGCGGGCCTGCACCGCGTGGAGTCTCTTTCGCAGCACCCGGAGGGCCTCGCGCGCAGCAAGAAGGCGAGCTTCGGGGGCTTGGAAGTCCACCTTCGAAAGGGCATCCTTCACTCGCTGCAAAGCACCCCGCCGCTGCAAACAGATCGTCTGGAAGGCCTTGACCTGCATCAGTGGCTTCACGTGCTCTGCACATTCCTCAGCCTTGGGAATGGCAGTCTCTCGAGGAACGCTCTTCCAGCAAAGCCATCTTGTCAGCGGCATCAGGCAATACCGCACATGCCCAAATTCATCGGCATCTCTGGTTGAAAGAGCGCAGTGCAGTAATGTGCGGTAAGTGATTTCTTTTGAGTTACAGCTGCGAGTACAGGGGCTGAGGCAGCTGAGAGCTTGAAGGACACTATCCTGTATGATCCTTAATGATGCTACACTACCATACCTACCATACTTCCACATACTCCCCTAGGTTCAGGTACACGACCTCAAGCAGGACTTGGTCCATCAAGGGCTATAACCCCTAGATATACCCTACTATAGTAGTTTCCATTCTATTTTCCATTATCCCCTATATAACCCCAATATCCCTATATCCCTATAAAATATGAACCCAATATACAATAATAGTTTCCATTTTATTTTCCATTATCCTAATATAAATCCTTTGGCTGCCAGCATGTTGTAATTTTGAGCCCCAGATCTTAGCAGATCCTGCTGGTCTGATAGTTGGATATTGGAGTTATACAGGGGATAATGGAAAAGAAAATGGAGACTACTGTAGTATATTGGGGTTATATTCATATAGGGGATAACGGAAAATCGAGACTACTTTAGCATATTGGGGTTACATTTATATAGGGTCATTGATATGGGGTTATTGGGGTTACATAGGGGTTGTTTAGGATACATATGTTCTCCCTTCGGGCCAAACAGCACAGCAGCTACGAAGCAGCAAGCATTCCATGCTACCAGGCATAAGTCATGAAATCTCCCGACTCAGTAGACTAGATTTCCTGAACCCACATGGCCAAAGCTTGAATCTCTTGACCCAACACCTTCTAAACCCCAAACACCCTTAACTCTAAGCACCCGAGACATCTTAAGCCCAACCAAACCCCCTGAATACAGTCCCCCTTAAGTAGATAGAATCTGGCTTTGAGTATATTATAATAAAGTCCCCATATACCCAAAATATTCTATCTACTTAAGGGGGACTATAACCTGAAGCAAGCCCCAGGGCTCCCAGCACGCTTCTGCGGAAAGCCCAGAGTCTGGGCGTCCTGATTGCCCTGGGACCTGCACAAAACTTCTGAGGCCTTGGGCAGCTAAGCAGCAGATCCTACCTTTGTGACGGTGGAAGGGGGGTCATGAAGGGCTACCAGTATTAGCTAGGGTTGAACGGGTTTTGGTTAGTTTTGGGATTTCAAGTTCGAAGGCGCAGGAGCCTACCTACAAGCACAGTCATGCTTGTCTAGGTTCCGAAGCAAAATTCAGGTTCAGCTGGAATGTGGGGCGCTTCAACCTCTGCTATCTCAGGCATCTGCATCTGGATGCTCCCTGGCAAATTCCAGTACCGTTGACACGTGGTAGTTTCCAAGCATCATAAAGACCCCCCCAACAGATGCAAAGGCCACCTCTGCTGCTGTTTCGGTCGAAGCGATGGCATCTCAGAAGTGCTCCTGGCATCGAGATTCTAGGGGCTTTAGGAGGGACTCCTAATAGGGACCCTTAATCCCATTACCATATTATATAACCCCTATGTAGTCATTTTATAACCCCTATATCC